ATAATGTCTGGCAAAGGCATTAAACGCTGCATGCGAGTGAATTGGAGGGGATTTCGAAGTGCGTTCTGTTTTTCTGGCCCTGGAATTCAACAAAAAAGCTCCTGTTTTGTAGCAGATTTCCTATGAGGCGCAGGTGAGGTTGTAGTCCTTTGTGGTATTTTTTTTTTCTCGGAAGGCAATGATTTATGTGTTTTGCTGCTTTGTCTACATATTTTCCACAATAAACTGCTTGCTGCTTTTACCAAGCTGGTGTGGTGTTTCAAGGCAGAGATATTTGACGTTTTGTTTCAGTTTTCTGGGCATGGTGCACCCAAATTCCTCCTTGGCTTTTATGAGCTGCCTTTCCTCACCTATCAAAGGCTATCATGTCTGGCAAAGGCATTAAACGCCAGTGTGAGGATAAATTGGAGGGGATTATGAAGCCCTGGAATACAACAAAAAAAAGCTCCTGTTTTGTAGCAGATTTCCTATGAGGCAGGTGAGGTGGTAGTCCTTTGTGATATTATATTTTTTTTTTCCTCAGGAAAAGGTGATGATTTACGTTTTTTTGCTGCTTTGGCTACATATCTTCTACAATAAACTGCTTGCTGATTTTACCAAGCTGGCGTGATGTTTCAAGGCAGAGGTGTTTCAGTTTTCTGGGCACGGTGCATCCAAATTCCTCCTTGGCTTTTATGAGCAGCCTTTCCTCACCTATCAAAGGCTATCATGTCTGGCAAAGGCATTAAACGCCAGTGTGAGGATAAATTGGAGGGGATTATGAAGCCCTGGAATACAACCAAAAAAAAGCTCCTGTTTTGTAGCAGATTTCCTATGAGGCAGGTGAGGTGGTAGTCCTTTGCGATATTTTTTTTTTTCTCAGGAAAAGGTGATGATTTACGTTTTTTTGCTGCTTTGGCTACATATCTTCTACAATAAACTGCTTGCTGCTTTTACCAAGCTGGTGTGGTGTTTCAGTTTTCTGGGCACAGTGCACCCAAATTCCTCCTTGGCTTTTATCAGCGGCCCTCCCTCACCTATCAAAGACTATCATGTCTGGCAAAGGCATTAAACGCCAGCGTGAGGATGAATTGGAGGGGATTACGAAGCGCGTATTAGAGGCTGCCTGGGTGGCGCAAACAAAAGGACAAGTTGGGAAAGCTTTGGTGGCTCGGCAAACAGGGCGTCCAAAAAAACAGCCTCCGCGAGCCAAGTCAATTGAACGTTAATCAAACATGCATCGGGCGTGCACGCCTCCGAAAGCCCGTCCATCGCACATAAATTCAGGGGACAAAAGCCGCTGCGGAAATCAATAGCCGACTGAAACATTAACGCAGACAATCATTGATCAAAAGGGGCTTTTACAAAGACAACGCGGGAGCCGGCCTCGCAACGGCCGTTTTTGTTCCTGTGTGATCTCGACTATTTTGCTTACCGGTACCGGCACGGCTTAAGATATAAGCGAGGCCGGTTTGACACCTGGGTAAAGAGACAACCGGGAAATAAAAAGACAGCCATCATCAGGTTTGCTCCCCGGCTCTGATCCTTTTGTGCTCTAGGCAACCGTCTTGGCTCGGAGACGCACTCCCAGCCACGCCAGAGTAAATTTAGTCTGCGGCTAAAAAAGCCCTTTTCCATGGGAACGTTCTCTAACAAGAGATACATCAAAGTCGCTCGTAGGAAAGCGTCAACGCCAAACCGGGGTTTTATTCTGGTGTTGTCCTCGCCCGCTCGCCCCGCGGTGCTTTTCAGAGAGGAATCGCTTCCCTCCTCCATCCCTGATGTGACAGACAAAGTCTTCATCTCCTACCGAACCACCCCTCCCTTCTCATTGGATTCTCACCACTGAAATAACGTTGCCCGCACAGCTCGGAAATAATGAGTTACGAGTAATAAAACGAGTTACGAGTAATAACCGTTGATGATTCCGAGTCTGCTCCCTTGGTAATTAAAGCACAACGGAATCACAGGACTACCTTAATTGACAACGCCACGAAAAGTCAAGCTCCGTTTTACAAATTTACGCTGCCCTCAGAAGCAGTGGTTCCCAACCTTAAACACCGCGACCCCTTAATACAGTCCCTCATGTTGTGGTGACCCCCAACCATAAGACCAAAGTGTCTCCTTGCTCATAAACAGAACTGGGACTCGAGGACTCCAAGGCTTTGAGATGTGGCCTTCCCACAAATGATCCTCTACGGCAACCTGAGATGTGGCCTTCCTACAAATGATCCACAACCTTCCGATTGCCGCGACCCCTTAATACGGTTCCTCATGTTGTGGTGACCCCCAACCATAAGACCAAAGTGTCTCCTTGCTCGTAAACAGAACTGGGACTCGAGGACTCCAAGGCTTTGGGATGTGGACTTCCCACAGATGATCCTGTACGGCAACCGAAGATGTGGCCTTCCCACAACTGATCCTCAATCTTCCGAATGTCGCAACCCCTTAACCCAGTTCCTCATGTTGTGGTGACCCAGAACCATCACATTATTTTCGTTGCTACTTCCATAACTGTCATTTTGCTATTGTTATGACTCGTAATGTAAATATCTGACATGCATTTTCCTTCACTGGACCAAATTTGGCTCAAATACCCGATATGCCCGAATTTGAATACTGGTGGAGTTTGGGGAAAATAGACCTTGACCTTTGGGAGTTGTAGTTGCTGGGATTTATAGTCCACCTACAATCAAAGAGCATTCTAAACTCCACCAATGATGGAATTGAACCAAACTTGGCACACAGAACTTCCATGTCCAGCAGAAAATACTGGAAGGGTTTTCGTGAACATTGACCTTGAGTTTGGGAATTGTAGTTCCCCTACATCCAGGGAGCGCTGTGGACTCAAACAATGATGGATCCGGACCAAACTTGGCACAAATACTCAATATGCCCATATGTGAACACAGGTGGAGTTTGGGGAAAATAGACCTTGACGTTTGGTAGTTGTATTGCTGGGATTTATAGTTCACCTGCAATTAAAGAGCATTGTGGACTCAACCCCTAGGGTGAGAAACGCAGACCTGTAAGATGAAATGGTGTTTTCTTCCTGTAGTTATTCCACACTGAACCTAATAAGTCCCAGTTTTTTAAAAGCACCTCTGTATTAGATAATGGCACAGATTGGTGGAGAGGGAATGGGTCTGTTTTGCGGACATAAAGTCTTTGCATTGCCACGCTTGGCCAGGAGCAAAAATTCTTTCTTCCTTGAAATATTGATAGCTTTCCTTTTTTTTCTCTCCTTTTTCATCTTTCAGTCCAGAAGGCTCTTCCACCTGCGTTATGTAGAGCAGTAAAATATAATTCAATTGGAAATGCTTCTACTGCCTCGGATGCACAATATCTGGAACTGGTGCAAATTTGCAATGTAACCCTGGTTGAAAATGTATCGAAATACTCTTTGATCAGAGCATAACTTACTGTCTTTTCCTAGTTTGCTCTAGCATCACAGCAAGGTCAACAAGTTATTTATTTACCATGTGCAAAGTGAATTGAGGATACAGTTGTAATATACTTAAAGACACAAAGTAAAAAACTTGGCATTGTACTAGATGTCCTTTGACCAGAAGCTGGTCACTTGGAGTGCCTCTGGTGTTGCTGTGAAAAGGTCCTCCATTGTGCATGTGATAGGGCGGTGATGGCATGATCGTCAGCATAGATTAAACGTTCTGTCCATTCTAGCAGTATCTGTGCATGTGGCATTGTAGTAAGTGGCCTGTGGTTTGCTCTTATCCACACTAGCACGTGGACATTGATGGTGCAAGCTGGTTTTCCATGTAATGGACAGTAAGAACACCTAAAGCTTCAGAGAGGTTCCATTCAACCATTTCAAAGCTCCTTGCTTGAGCGGTGATGGCACGATCGTCAGCATAGATGAAACTCCCTGTGCCTTCTGGCAGTGGCTGGTCACTTGTGTAAATGCTAAACATTGATGGTGCAAGCTGGTTTTTCCTGTAATAGTCAGTAAGAGCGCCTAAAGCTTCTGAGAGCTTCTGTGCAACTATTTCAAAACTCCCTGCTTGGGTGGTGATGACACGATCATCAGCATAGATGAAACTCTCTGCCCCTTCTGGGAGTGGCTGGTCATTTGTTTAAATGTTACACATTGATGGTGGAAGCTGGTTTTCTTAGTAATAGGCAGTAAGAACACCTAAAGCTTCGGAGAGCTTCTGTTCAACCATTTCAAAGCTCCTTGCATGAGCGGTGATGGCACGATCGTCAGCATAGATGAAACTCTCTGTCCCTTCTGGCAGTGGCTGATCATTTGTGTAAATGTTAAACATTGTTGGAGCGCGTTTCAGAGAGCTTCTCTTCAACCATTTCAAAGCTCCTTGCTTGAGTGGTGATGGCCTGATCGTCAGCATAGATGAAACTCTCTGCCCCTTCTGGGAGTGGCTGATCATTTGTTTACATGTTACACATTGATGGTGCAAGCTGGTTTTCTTAGTAATAGGCAGTAAGAACACCTAAAGCTTCAGAGAGCTTCTGTTGAACCATTTCAAATCTCCTTGCTTGAGCGGTGATGGCATGATCGTCAGCATAGATGAAGCTCTCTGTCCCTTCTGGCAGTGGCTGATCATTTGTGTAAATATTAAACATTGATGGAGCAAGCTTCGGAGAGCTTCTTCTCAACCATTTCAAAGCTCCCTGCTTGAGTGGTGATGGCACAATCATCAGCATAGATGAAACTATTTTTGTGATGTGCATTGTCTTACTCTCTGATTTCTTACTTTTCTTTTGCCTGGAGCTCTTGTTTGTTCATACAGTATTAAAAAGACTAACTCAACGAGTCTAGAAAATCGAGAATCAGATCATGGGGACAAGGGTTAACTTCCGGAGCTGGATTGTTTCTAAACATGGAGGTTTTGTTAAATTTTCCAAAGCTCCTTTTTCGTTTTCTATATGAGAAGCAGCCTTCAATTATGTGAACGGAGAGCGCCGTTTTGCGAGACAGATCTGCAAGAAAGCTCCGCGCCACTTTGATAACAGCGTGCGTTTCTATCTTTATTGTTTTGCAGGGAGAACTGATCACTTTCTATTACTACTGGAAGAAAACCCCCGAAGCCGCCAGTTCTCGGGCGCACCGCAGGCACCGGCGGCAGGCTGTGTTTCGCAGAATCAAAACACGGACGGCTTCCACTCCGGTTAACACGCCCTCCAGGCCCCCGTCCAGCGAATTCTGTAAGTAGGAGGCTAAACGCGGCGCATTTGTCTCCGTTTAGATGCATGGGGCTGAAGCAGAAGGTAATGGATCTCCGCCTCTGACCGAAACACAGCTGTGGAAATGGAGTTCGAGCCCTCGGTGGCGCTCAGGCTCTCGATTCATTATCCCGGCGGATGGCAGGTGTCTGGGATCAGTGAGCAATTGGTTGTATACTTACGCAGGAGGGTGGGCAGAGGAGACGCGGCTGTGGAAATACAGAAGCATCGCTTTGGCTATAGAGCCTGTTAGGATTTCCCCGAAATGAAAATACAGGGTTTCGTTCCAAGAGAAAATCCGCAAAGTAGGGACTTCATATTAATTTTAATACTTATACGTTATTTTATATCTTAAATAAATAAAAAGGTAGTGTTAGTTTGTGGGATTAACAGAACTCAAAAACCACTGGATGAATGGACACCAAATTTGGACACAATACACGTAACAGTCCAATGTGTGTCCATCACCCATAAACACATGCACACGCATGCAAAACCCCAGCAGAACAGACTTAAAAACCCAAAAATACACCATATATACATATACACATACACTCATATACATATGCACATAATAATAATATTCACTCTGGGTCAGAGTGAAGAGAGAGGGCCAGGGGACAGTTCCATCTTGTCTCCGGCATATGTCATCAGTTGAGGACCCCTCTCCCCAGTACCAAGTGCYGCTCTGGGCCAGATTGAAGAGAGRGRGGGCCAGGGGATAGTTCCACCTTGTATCCTGCATATGTCATCAGTTGGGGACTCCTCCCCCAGCACCCACTGCCGCTCTAGGCCAGATTGAAGAGAGAGGGGGCCAGGGGACAGTTCCAYCTTGTCTCCTGCATATGTCATCAGTTGRRGACYCCTCTCCCCAGYACCMACTGCCRCTCTRGGCCAGAKTGAAGAGAGAGGGGGTCAGGGGACAGTTCCATCTTGTCTCCSGCATATGTCATCAGTTGRRGACYCCTCTCCCCAGYACCMACTGCCRCTCTGGKCCAGRKTGAAGAGAGRGGGGGYCAGGGGACAGTTCCACCTTGTCTCCTGCATATGTCATCAGTTGGGGACCCCTCCCCCCTGCACCAACTGCCACTCTGGGCCAGAGTGAAGAGAGAGGGGGCAGGGGACAGTTCCATCTTGTCTCCCACATATGTCATCAGTTGGGGACCCCCCTCCCCAGTACCAACTGCTGCTCTGGTCCAGATTGAAGAGAGAGGGGGCCAGGGGACAGTTCCACCTTGTCTCCTGCATATGTCATCAGCTGGGGACCCCTCCCCCCTGCACCATCCACTGCTCTGGGCCAGAGTGAAGAGAGGGGACCAGGGGACAGTTCTATCTTGTCTCCTACATATGTCATCAGTTGGGGACCCCTCCACCCAACACCAACTGCTGCTCTGGGCCAGGGTGAAGAGAGAGGGGTCCAGGGGACAGTTCCATCTTGTCTCCTGTGCAATTCTAATAATATAATGTAATACAATACAATATAATATATTGTATGTACATATAATATTTATATTATAATGCAATGCAATATGATAATTATATATTTATATTACATGTAACATTACTGATAATATTACAATATAATGGTATAGTATAATATAGTAATATTTAATACTGATATTGTACTGTGCTAATAATATAATATATTGTATGTATTTATACCGTGTAAGCCACTCTGAGTCCTCTTCAGGGTAAGAAGTATGGCATATAAATGTTGTAAATAAATAAATGATAATAATAATGATCATAATCATAATATTTATTTATACCCTGCCACCATCTCCCCAACAGAGACTTGGGAGTGGCTTACATGAGGCCAAGCCCAACAGCATATTGCAATAAAATAAAAACCAAAGCACAAACGACGAGATAGTAAAATACATAAAACATATGAATACAGTAAGCAATATAAAAATACAATACAAAGTCATTCGGACAGCAATTCTGTAAACATGCAGAGTATTATTGTGATTATTCAACATCATTTTTATTCCTAAGACCAAAGTTTTAGCCCTTTATTGTTGCTGATCACTCCAGAGTATGTGTGTCAAAGGCCTGTTAACAATCGCAGAAGCCGGTGTATTTATTTATTTACTTATTTATTTACAGTATTTATATTCTACCCTTCTCCGGGCTTTAGCACAGCTGGTTAATCACCAACAGCAATAGATCTTACCAATTGAAAGATTGGCAGTTCGAAGCCTGGGTCGGGGTTATGCAGCTGGCTACTAACTAGCTGCGCCATAGCCCAGTCCATGCATATAGATAAATGCCTGCCAAGGCTAACATGCTGTGCAGCTCATGAAATAGGACCTGGTTTGTGAAAAGTATTGCCACGATCAATTATTGGCCTTTATAGCATCACAAGACCCCTTTCTCTTGGATATTGTGTAGCAAAAAGAGGGAGAATCTTCCAAAGTCAGTAGTTTGCTCTTTTCTTGTCTTTTCCCCTGCTACTTCTATAACCATAGTGGATTTGAGCTCTGCCAGCGAAGATGACTTCGACAGCGAGGACAGCGAGCAGGAGCTGAAGGGCTACGCGTGTCGGCACTGCTTCACCACCAGTACGTACCACTAGGTTCTCCTACCCATTGCCCTTTTCCCCTTGTTGTATTTTTGTAGGTTTCTGTCATCGTTTTGTTGCCCGTTTTTGGATTTTTCTCTCCGTTTTCGGATTTTTTTTCTCCTGTTTTCGGATTTTTCTCTCCGTTTTCGGATTTTTCTCTCCGTTTTTGGATTTTTCTCTTTGTTTTTGGAGTTTTCTCTCCGTTTTCGGATTTTTCTCTCCGTTTTCGGATTTTCCTCTTTGTTTTTGGATTTTTCTCTCCGTTTTCGGATTTTTCTCTCCGTTTTTGGATTTTTATTTATTTTTTTATTTATTTACTGTATTTGTATGCCACCTTTCTCAGTTAATTGGCAACTCAAGGCGGTTTCYAAGAAATCAGTATACATAAAACATAATATAGATAAAAAACATGAAACAGTATAGCACATCACAAAAGCAATAAAAACAACATCATCAGCGTCTCATTATTCTCAAGCATTGTCCAATTCCATTGTCATTTTTCTCTCCGTTTTCGGATTTTTCTCTCCGTTTTTGGATGTTTCGCTCCGTTTTTGGATTTTTCTCTCCGTTTTCGGATTTTTCTCTCCGTTTTYGGATTTTTCTCTCCRTTTTCGGATTTTTCTCTCCGTTTTCRGATTTTTCTTCATTTTTGGATTTTTCTCTCCGTTTTCGGATTTTTCTCTCCGTTTTCGGATTTTTCTCTCTGTTTTCRGATTTTTCTCTCCATTTTTGGATTTTTCTCTCCATTTTTGGATAAATAAAAACGAGAAAAAGATAGTATTACCAGGTAGTGTATGAAAACCAATAAGCGTTGTAGTGAGTAGCATATTATGTTGCTACTTCCATATTCTTCATTTTAGGCAGGATATAAATGAAATGAGAGCCAATGTCTCATAAAAATCCAAAAGTAATACAGTCCAGGAATAGCCAAAAATCACATGTACAGCATAAATCCATAAACAAAAGGTATACTTTGAAAAACTTGAGCAAGAATCATAAAACAAGAATATAGAAATCTTCCAAGTTACTTGAATCCAAAATCAAGACTCAGGCCTTGTTTTTAACTTGAACGCAATGTTGCCTGAACTGACTGTAAGTCAAACACTGGCTGTTAATAAATAGTCATGAAGTCGTGTCATTTCCCATGAATTTTGTGTATCTCTTTCCCACGTTCTGTCTCTGACCTACGGAGCCAATTTTGTACTCTGGTCTTTTGCTTATCCCCGTAATATAACTCGAAAGCCAACATTACCTGAACTGACTTTAGTGTAAACACTAATATACAGTCATGAAGTCGTGTCATTTCCCATGAATTTTGTCTATCTCTTTCCCACGTTCTGTCTCTGGCCTACAGATCCAATTCTCTACTCTGGTCTTTTGCTTATCTCCGTAATATCAGATGCTTTACCTTGAGAGTTTTCTGTTTCACTTAATTCTTCTTCACTCGACCCCTTATCTAATGATGTTGTTTCTGGCTCGTGTGACTGACCTTGGAGCTTGGCACTGTCTGAGTCAATTTCATTTCCCTGGTCTGAATCTTCACTGCTTTGGCCTGAATCTGCATCACTTTGAACCCCAGGAAATCCCACAATCCCTTCTGAATCATCAGTGAACCCATCAGCCCCTGGCCACTGAGCTCCAACAGTTGCCCTGTAAGGCAAATCAGAAGTAATATCCTCATACTAGCAGTTCAGAATAGTAGGCAAACGTATCACAGTTGATGTTTCAGTCCTCTCACTGTTTTCCTCCGTCTAGCCTCCAAGGACTGGCACCACGGCGGGCGGGAAAACATCTTGCTGTGCACAGACTGTCGCATCCACTTCAAGAAATACGGGGAGCTCCCTCCCATCGAGAAGCCGGTGGACCCACCCCCTTTTATGTTTAAACCTGTCAAAGAGGAAGATGACGGACTCAGCGGGAAGCATAGCATGAGGACACGGCGGAGTCGAGGCTCGGTAAGCTGCCTACAGTGCGTTCCCCTTTGGAGGACGCCCAAAGTCCTCCTCATTGACCATTGCGGGCTGGGATTGGTTGGAGTTGTTGTCAAACAGATTCCCTTTCCCAGTTTTAGGTATCATATGTTTACAAAGTGCAATGCTAAATGTATATGTATTTGCCACATTTTTTCACACCTGTTGTGGACCAGGTAAAATGGTCTTTTAGGGGTCCAGCAGAAGGTTTTCTCTTATGTGAATGACACTAGCACCCAACTAAGACTTGCAGAGTCAAGGCTGTCTGGAAACCCTACACGTATATGCTGTGCCTTAACTAAAAATGAGGACGTCTGAGAGAGAAAAAACCAGAAAAATTGGTGAATTTTTTTTCTTCCGATTTTTTCCCAAAGCCATTAATTTCTGTAAGTGTAGAAATAATACATATCAGAATTTTTTCATTAAGATCTTCATGTTATGTGGTTTGAATACCATTTTCAAAGTTTTTAAAAAGTACAAGAGCGATCTCCCCCTCCCTCCTCCATGAGACCTGATTGGTTAGAGGCAATTCAACATGTTTGGCTTCGCCTCTCAGCAGGACTTGGTTGCTCTGTGAATTTTAGCTGCATCACAACTACTTAGAAGGCACTCGAGACTTAAGAATCGAAGCTTCCTTTTGATTCAGATTTTTAATATTGGGAGAGCAGCGAGCAGGCGTGTCGGAACTCTCTTCGAAAGTGCTTTACTTCCGAATAACTTACGACTTCCGAATACATCCACACCAACCAAACGCACACCTCTAGTGTTTACCTTTCCTTAAGCTATTCAGTGTGTGTGTGTGTGTGTGTGTATATATACGTATTTACTCAAGTCTAATGTGGCATCAAATCTAACCTCAATCTTCAAAACCCCAAAATCCAAAAAAGTACTTACCATATTACACAAATCTAATGCGCACCCTAATTTTGGGAAGATAATTTAGTCAAAAAAGCTGAGTAAATTTGGTCTGTATGGATTTACAATTAAAAATGAACTTGTTCTGACTTACATACAATACATACTGATATTGTGCTATGCTAATAATATAATATATTGTATGTATATGCATCTTGTAAACCGCTCTGAGTCCCCTTTGGGGTGAGATGGATGGCATATAAATGTCATAAATAAATAAATACAAATTCAGCTTAAGAACAAACCTACAGAAACTATCTTGTTTGTAACTTGAGGACTTTTTGAGAAAATTACTTGTCCTATATTCCTCTTTAAACCAGCAGATGTCTGCACTACGAAGTGGTCGGAAAAAGCAGCCCAGCAGCCCTGATGGTAGAGCCTCACCTATCAACGAAGACATACGATCCAGTGGACGCAACTCTCCCAGTGCCGCCAGTACTTCCAGTAATGACAGCAAGGCTGATTCGGTGAAGAAGTCCACCAAAGTACGTTCTGGTAGATGCTCCGGGTACCATCTAGTAGATGCTCTGGGTACCATATAGTAGATGCGCTGAGTAACATCTGGTAGATGCTCTGGGTACCATCTGGTAGATGCTCTGGGTACCATCTAGTAGATGCTCTGAGTAACATCTGGTAGATGCTCTGGGTACCATCTAGTAGATGCTCTGGGTACCATATAGTAGATGCTCTGAGTAGCATCTGGTAGATGCTCTGAGTAACATCTAGTAGATGCTCCGGTTACCATCTAGTAGATGCTCTGAGTAACATCTGGTAGATACTCTGGGTACCACCCGGTAGATGTTCTGGGTACCATCTGGTAGGTGCTCTGGTTACCATCTAGTAGATGCTCTGAGTAACATCTGGTAGATGCTCTGGGTATCACCTGGTAGATGCTCTGGGTACCACCTGGTAGATGCTCTGGGTACCATCTGGTAGATGCTCTGAGTAACATCTGGTAGATGCTCTGGGTACCACGTAGTAGATGCTCTGGGTACCATCTGGTAACTCCATGCTGGAAGGTTAAGGGGAAGTTTCACTTGGAAGGGTAGATGCATCAACACGTAGGCCAAGTGTCCTGCAGCCCCTCGCGTCAGTATCTTTTCTAGGCAAGATTCAAGAGCCCCTCTTGTCCTGTCCCCCCCCCCCCCATTTGATAACATTGCTCCTTTTCATGTGCAGCAGAAGATCAAAGAAGAGGCGTCGTCTCCTCTCAAGAGTTCCAAGAGACAACGAGAAAAGGCAGCTTCCGACACCGAGGAGCCCGACAGGAGCAATGCCAAAAAAACCAAAACACAGGTATGTCTCCTTGATACGAGGGTTGAATGAAGGTAATGCCTCCACCTTCGTAACTCCTCAACAGATGGCAGTACTGGTATGTGGCAGGTACTGGCTTGTTCAGTAGACTCTCCTCTACAGTTCCATTTTGGTGGGAAGCCTTAGCATTGAATGGTTGTTTTGTTAAAGTGTGAAGTAGGGAACAGACTGTCGGTCAATGTGACTTAAGCAATGTGCAGTCATTGAATTCTTGACAGCAGAAGGTGTCACCCCAAAGGAGAATGCAAGCTGTTTATGGGGATTGTGTTGATGTGGGTACTGTGCATCGTTAAATGAGGTGGGAACATCTGTCTTGCATGACAAACAAAGAGTTGGATGTCCTGTGACAGCAACCATCGAGTTTCTCAAGTGAAAGGTTGACAGATTGATTCAGGACGATCGTCGTATCACTCAGAGAGAAATTTCAAGTATAATCAGCATTTCACAAGAACGTGTGGGTCACATTATTGCTTGGCTTGGCTATCGGAAGATCTGTGCATGATGGGTACCCAGGTTGCTGACGCCTGAAATGAAAGCGCACAGACTTGAAACTTCAGAGACTGGATCTCACCACCATACGACATCCTCCATACAGTCCAGATTTAGCAACATCTGACTTTCATCCGTTCCCAATAATGAAAGAAGATCTGCGGGGATATCATTATGCTTTCGATGAAGACGTTGAGAGAACTGGGAGATGCTGGTTGCGGAAAGAGAGTGTCAACTTCTGTGACGGCTTCAGAAAACTTGTTCATCGTTGCCAGATAGTTTCAGGACAATCATCGTATCGCTCAGCGAGAAATTTCAAGCATAATCGGCATTTCACAAGAACGTGTGGGTCACATCATCGCTTTGCTTGGCTATCGGAAGATCTGTGCACGATGGGGACCCAGAAGGAGAGAACTGTGAGATGCTGGTTGCGGAAACAGAGTGTCGACTTTTTTTGTGACGGCTTCAGAAAACTTGTTCATTGGCAGAAATGTATCCAATTATCTGATCATGTGGAAAAGTGAATAGTGGGAGTTAAAGAGCACCTTCTAAGGATTATTTCTGCGTTCGATTTATTGAAATATTCCCATCTAAACCCAAGTTACGAAGGCAGAGGAATTACTTTTCATTCATCGTTGGTAGAAATGTATCCAATTGTCTGGTGATTATGTGGGAAAGTGAATAGTGGTAGTTAAAGAGCACATTCTAAGGATTATTTCTGTGTTTGATTTATTAAAGTATTCCCATCCGTAACAAAGGTGCAGGCATTACTTTTCATTCATTGTTGGCAGAAATGTATCCAATTGTCTGGTGATTATGTGGGAAAGTGAACAGTGGTAGCTAAAGAGCACCTTCTAAGGATTATTTCTGCATTTGATTTATTAAAGTATTTCCATCCAAACCCGAGTAACAAAGGTGGAGGCATTACTTTTCATTCATCGTTGGTAGAAATGTATCCAATTGTCTGGTGATTATATGGGAAAGTGAATAGTGGGAGTTAAAGAGCACATTCTAAGGATTATTTCTGCGTTTGATTTTGTAAAGGAGCGTAAAATTACTGCCACCAATTTGTGAAGGAAGGCCGGGCAATGATGATCAGCTTAGAAGCTGGTTTATAAAGGGACTATTATTTATTTATTTGATAGCGAAGCTGATATTTAATGTCCCTGATTTGGTCTTACTTCTTATGTAGGACTGTTTGACTTCGGAGAAACTGTATCAGGCAAGCCTTGAGGAAAACAGTAACAAATTTATTTAACAGGAGTATAACAGATTCAATTGTTACTTCTCTAGAGGCACAAACTTAGTTAGTTACATTGATAAGGTTTCTTGAATAACTTTGGATACTAAACAGACTTCAAAAGGTTTCTTTGAGTAGATATATCTTTCTTCAACAAGCGTTCTTTTAGTACAAATAAGCCATCTGACTTATCTAACTCTATTGGCTCACAGCCAAACCCTGATTCTTAATATTAAAGAGCCAGTCTTCCCTATAGTTCTCTAACTATAGGATTCCTGCTGGTTTTCCACACACCACGGGATCAACTACCTCTCCTGTAACCCTTTGGTCACAGACTAGTTCTCTGAATCTCCCACCAGAGATTTCAGTCTTCTCTGTAACTCTAACGGTCACAGACTGCCTATTTCAAACAGCCGGGCAGCTAGGTGACAGTTGGCTCCACCCCCATTGCTATGTCAACTCAGGCCAAGCCAGCCACCATCTCTAACAAAATATAATTCCACATACTTACCATTTATTAACTAATGTTTAAACAACACATAACTATAGGAACAAAATTACACATCGTCACAGATTTATTAAAATATTCCCATCCAAACCCAAGTAACGATGGTGGAGACATTACCTTTCATTCAACCCTCGTATGATTCTCAGCCAGAAGTCCCATGCTAGCTTGAGGATTCTGGGAGTTCTATGATTCTGGCAAATGAAACCAGGCATTTAGACTTTCCTCTCAAATGGCCAGCTGTCCTGAGGCCATGCTGAGGAGTGCTCCTTTCTTTCTTTTCTCCGCACAGGAAATCAGCCGGCCCAATTCCCCGTCGGAGGGCGAAGGGGAAGGGGAAAGCTCCGACAGCCGGAGCGTGAACGACGAGGGCAGCAGCGATCCAAAAGACATCGACCAGGACAACCGGAGCACCTCGCCCAGCATCCCGAGCCCCCAAGACAACGAAAGCGACTCCGATTCCTCCGCGCAGCAGCATGTGCTGCAGGCCCCCAACGGTCCTGTTCAGCCCACTCCCCCAGCGCTGCCTTTGCCGCCGCAGCTCCCTGTCCCGCTGCCGGCCACCTCGGGCGCCCCTTCCTCAGTACTGCCCCACATCCCCACCTCTGTGTCCCAGCCGCCCAGCCAACCCCAAACTCCGGTACCCCCTCATTCCCACATCCAGCAGGCGCCTTCTCTTCACCCCCAGAGGCTGCCTTCGCCTCATCCGCCCCTGCAACCGCTGACTGTCCCTGCGAGCCAGCTTCCTGCTGTCTCTCAGCCGCACCCGCAGCCTCCGCTTCACGGGCAGATCCCGGTCCTCCCGCACAATCTCCAAGCCCAGACACTGCTGCCTCATACTGTCCCCACTCCGCCGTTCCCCCTTCCCGCACAGTCATCCTCGTCGTCGTCGTCTCAGTCTCAGGTCTCCCTGCAGCCGCAGCCCACTTCCCTCGCCCATGGCGCACTTCAGGTGCCGCCGGCACAGCAAGTGCCCTCTCCCATGCAGCAGCCGCCCCGAGAGCAGCCCCTTCCTCCTGCTCCCATGCCCATGCCCCACATCAAGCCCCCTCCCACCACCCCGATTCCACAGCTCCCCACGCCGCCGTCCCACAAGCACCTCGCCGGCCCGTCACCGTTCTCCATGAACTCCAACTTGCCGCCGCCGCCCGCTCTGAAGCCGCTGAGTTCCCTCTCGACTCATCACCCGCCATCGGCGCACCCTCCTCCTCTGCAGCTCATGCCGCAGAGCCAGCCGCTGCAGCCTTCTCCCGCCCAGCCGCCCGTCCTGACGCAAAGCCAGAGCCTCCCTCCCTCCGCCGGCCACCCTTCCTCCGGTCTCCATCCGGTGCCGCCTCAACCCCCCTTCTCCCAGCATCCCTTTGTCCCCGGGGGTCCCCCACCGGTCACTCCTCCCTCTTGCCCGTCCACCTCCACGCCGCCGTCCGTGCCTCCGGCCGCCATCGCCACGCCTGCGTCCTGCAGCGGGAATGTCCCTGCGGTGACCGCCTGCACGATACCGCCGATTCAGATCAAAGAGGAGGCTCCAGACGAAGCGGAGGAACCGGAGAGCCCGCCTCCCCCGCCTAGGAGTCCGTCGCCGGAGCCGACGGTTGTGGACACGCCAAGCCATGCCAGCCAGTCAGCAAGGTAAGGAAAATGTGGCAGACCCATCCATGTGGTTTGCCTGACTAGGCAGCCATCTCAGACCACCAATCTATATACATAATATATAATCTATTTATCTATACATATAATAAAACTAATAATACTTTATTATTATTATTATTATTATTATTATTATTAATATTATCATCGGATCCCCCGGTGGCGCAGTGGGTTAAACCCCTGTGCCGGCAGGACTGAAGACCGACAGGTCGCAGGTTCGAATCCGGGGAGAGGCGGATGAGCTCCCTCTATCAGCTCCAGCTCCTCATGCGGGGACATGAGAGAAGCCTCCCACAAGGATGATAAAACATCATATCATCCGGGCGTCCCCTGGGCAACGTCCTTGCAGACGGCCAATTCTCTCACACCAGAAGCGACTTGCAGTTTCTCAAGTAGCTCCTGACACGACAAAAATTATTATTATTATTATTATTATTATTATTATTATTATTTTACTGACACAAAAGCATAGTATGTCACAGCAAGTGAGATCTATATGCTGGATTTTGTATTATTATTATTATTATTATTATTATTATCTTGAACATGTTCAAGATTAACATAACTCAAAAATTTTATTATTATTATTATTAGATCTATATAAATAATAATAATAAATAATAATAAGTAGAGTAAAATAATAAGTGTAATAACAATAATAAATAGAGAAAAATAATAAATGTAATAACAACAATAATAAATAGAGAAAAATAATAAATGTAATAACAATAGAATAAAATAATAAATCTAATATCAATAATCTATATAAATAAAAATGTAATGTCCGTTTGTGGGATTAACATAAAACCACTGGACAAATTGACACCAAATTTGGACACAAGACACCTATCAGGCCAACGACTGACCATCACTCAGAAAACCACTGGAAAACACAGCAGAAGGGACTTAAAAAGCCAAAAAATAAAATAAATACATTACAACACATGCGTAAAACCACATGTATATATGCAAACACACATATATACACAAATATATATATATATATACACACACATGCACACACAAAACACATATACACAGACTGGGCCACAGCAACGCATGGCAAGGGACGGCTAGTACTATATAATAATAATAATAATAATAATAATAATAATAATAATAATAATAATAATAAGTAGTAGTAGTAGTAATAGTAGTAGTAGTAGTAGTAGTAGTAATAGAGCTATATAAATAATAATAATAAATAGAGAAAAATAATACATGTAATAACAATAGAGTAAAATAATAAATCTAATATCAATAATCTATATAAATAAAAAGGTAATATCTGCTTGTGGATTAACAAAATTCTAATAATTAATAAATAGAGTAAAATAATAAATGTAATAACAACAATAATAAATAAAGAAAAATAATAAATAGAATAACAATAGAATAAAATAATAAATCTAATATCAATCTATATAAATAAAAAGGTAATATCTGCTTGTCGGATTAACAAAACTCTAATAATTAATAAATAGAGTAAAATAATAAATGTAATAACAACAATAATAAATAGAGAAAAATAATAAATAGAATAACAATAGAATAAAATAATAAATCTAATATCAATAATCTATATAAATAAAAATGTATTGTCGGTTTGTGGGATGAACAGAACTCAAAAACCACTGGGCGAATTGACACCAAATTTGGACACAAGACACCTGTCAGGCCAACGAGTGACCATCACTCTTAAAAACACTTGAAAGCACAGCAAAAAAGACTTAAAAAGCCAAAAAATAAAGAAATTGGCAATCTCTTTGCTCTCAAACGCCTCCTGATTCCTTCATTTCCCGCCTTGCAGGTTTTACAAGCACCTGGACCGCGGCTACAACTCCTGCGCCCGGACGGACCTCTACTTCATGCCGCTCGCCGGTTCCAAGCTGGCCAAGAAGCGCGAGGAAGCCATCGAGAAGGCCAAGCGGGAGGCGGAGCAGAAGGCAAGAGAAGAGAGGGAACGGGAGAAAGAGAAGGAAAAGGAGAGGGAGAGAGAGCGGGAGCGTGAGAGAGAAGCAGAAAGAGCGGCGGTAGGTTTGGCGGTCTCTCGAGCCGAGCGGGTCCCACGAAAAAGACCGTTTTTGCACCGTGCCATTGTGCAAAAAAATTCCCGGGAGGGTTTCCCTGCTCCTCAGGACAGCGTAAATATTGTTTGCGAGCAGTCTGGGGCTCCTCGCTTTCTGTCCTTCCCCTTCGTGCTCGCTCTTTGTTGCCTCGATCTGTTCCGGATGTGGCGAAAAGGGACGAGAGCGTTGATGTCCCAGAAAGATACCTTCAAATAACTGTTCTGTGGATTTGCTTGGAAACCTGCCCTTGTTCCGGGGATGTCTGTGCCATCTTCAAACTTCCATGCCCATTTTCCCATCCACCCCACAAAATATTTAGGCTGAAAATGTATGGAACAACAACATGGGCAAACCCATTCCTCCTTACTTCCCTCCCTCCCTTCCTTACCTCCCTCTTTCTCTTTCCATCCTTCTCTTCCTCCCTTTCGTCCTTCCTTCCTTTTCTCTTTCATAAATAATAATAATAAGTGTCCCTTGGCTCTGGATCCCTCTCATTTCTTCCACGTGTTCTCCAGAAAACAGACCTGAGCTGCATTACTCATAAGATATGTTGTTTCCTACGGAGAGGTTGAGGTGGTTCTCTCCTCGTATGAAAGGGGATTGCATGAGAGAGTTTGAGCCATTGGGTGGGTTTGAAAGAGAGCCATGTAAACAAGGAGGACACGAAATATATCTCCTCCTCCCCTCCCTTTTGACTGGAGAAGAAAACACACTCTTAAGGGAGAAAAGAGGAGAGGGGAATATCATAAATTATCATCATAAATTATCATAAATTGCAAGCAATGGAACTCGGCTTATCTTCGAGTATATACGGTATGTTAGGAGAATTACTGCCAATTTGTAAGCCGCCTTGAGTCGCCTTCAGGCTTGAGAAAGGCGGGATAGAAATATCGTAAATAATAATAAATAAAATAATAATACAGTGTTCCCTCGCTACTTTGCGGTTCGCTTTACGCGGACTCACTGTTTTGCGGATTTAAAAAAAGAATTTAAAATATTTACATTACAATGGGCTTTAGAAAGGGAGGCTGGTGTGCAGCCCCTCAAATCCTGTAGGGGTTTTTTTGGCTCATTCCTTAATGTATAAATAATGTATAAATATTACATAAATATAAATAATGTATAAATATTACAATTATAGCATCCCTACTTCGTGGATTTTCACTTATTGCGGGTGGTACTGGAACGTAACCACCTCACATCCTGTCGCTTTTTTTTTTTTGCTCATTCCTTAATGTATAAATATTACATAAATATAAATAATGTCTAAATATTACAATTATAGCGTCCCTACTTCGTGGATTTTCACTTATTGCGGGTGGTCCGGGAACGTAACCCCCGCAGTAAATGAGGGAACACTGTAAGTGCCCCTTGGCTCTGAATCCCTCACATTTCTTCCATGTGTTCTCCAGAAAATAGACCCATAAAAGGAGATGTTGTTTCCTGTGGGGGGTTTGAGGTGGTATGAAAGGGGATTGCATGAGAGAGTTTGAGCCATGGGCACGTCCTTGACGAAACGCCTCTCCTTTTTCGAATAGCAGAAAGCGTCCAGTTCCTCCCACGAAGGGCGCCTCGGAGAATCCCAGCTGAGCGGGCCTGCTCACATGAGACCTTCCTTCGAACCGCCTCCCACCACCATTGCCGCCGTGCCCCCTTACATCGGTCCCGACACGCCAGCCCTACGGACTCTCAGCGAGTACGCCCGCCCTCACGTCATGTCCCCCACAAACCGCAACCACCCCTTCTTTGTCCCCCTCAACCCCACCGACCCGCTTTTGGCCTACCACATGCCCGGCCTTTACAACGTGGACCCCACCATCCGGGAGCGGGAACTGCGCGAACGGGAGATCCGGGAGCGGGAGATCCGGGAGCGGGAGCTGCGGGAGAGGATGAAGCCGGGTTTCGAGGTGAAGCCGCCGGAGCTCGACGCGCTGCACCCGGCCACCAACCCCATGGAGCACTTTGCCCGCCACGGCGCTCTCACCATCCCGCCCACAGCAGGTCCGCACCCTTTTGCTTCCTTCCATCCGGGGCTGAACCCTCTGGAACGGGAGAGACTCGCTCTAGCCGGCCCCCAGTTGCGGCCTGATATGAGCTACCCGGACAGACTGGCTGCCGAACGGATACATGCCGAGCGGATGGCGTCGCTCACCAACGACCCCTTGGCCAGGCTCCAGATGTTCAACGTGACGCCGCATCATCACCAACATTCGCACATCCATTCGCATCTACACCTCCATCAGCAAGACCCGCTACATCAAGGTGAGTCAGGGTCAAAGAGAGGTGTGTTACCTGTGCCTACCTTCCTTGGTGCGAATAGGCTTATTAACAAAAAAATCCTACCCATGAATGTATAACAAAATAACTTAGCAACAGCGGCGTGACCCAGAACCCGTAGCCCAAAGTGATAAAAGGGACAGAAACACAAAAATCGTATAGTTGCACTATTTACAATAACAAGGTTTCCACAACACAAGTAAAGCCCTTTATACTTCCTTCTTTGCTTCCATGCTAGGCTTCTTCCTCATTCAGATAAATAGCTTCTCTCTCACAGAGCCTTCTCTCAGAATGAATTTATATATAAATTTGGAGTGCCGATCTCACACTGGGAGGCCTTCTCTCACAGACTAAGGCCTACCTCACACTGTGAGGCCTTCTCACACAAAGTAAGGCCTATCTCACACTGTGAGGCCTTCTCTCACAGACTGAGACCTACCTCACACTGTGAGGCCTCCTCTCACAGACTAAGGCCTACGTCATACTGTGAGGCCTTGTCTCACAGACTGAGGCCTACCTTACACTGTGAGGCCTTCTCTCACAGACTAAGGCCTATCTCACACTGTGACACCTCCTCTCACAAACTAAGGCCTACATCACACTGTGAGGCATTCTCTCATAGAGTAAGCCCTACCTCACACCGTGACACCTCCTCTCACAGACTAAGACCGACCTAACACTGTGAGGTCTTCTCACAGAGTAAGCCCTACCTCACACTGTGAGGCCTTTCTCTCACAGACGAAAACCTAGCTCAAACTGCGATCCCTTCTCTCACAGACAAAGGCCTACCTCACACGGTGAGGCCTTCTCTCACAGACTAAGGCCTACCTCACAGTGCGAGGCTTTCACAGACTAAGGCCCACCTCTCACTGCGAGGCCTCTCTCACAGATTAAGGCTTACTTCACACTGCGAGGCCTTCTCTCAGAGACTAAGGCCTACCTCACAGACTAAGGCCTACCTCACATTGTGAGGCCTTAGACATTTCTCCCACTGAGGTTTACCCCGGACAGATGGCTACTAAGCTACAGGCACACATGCTTATATAGAACTGCAGCTTTTCCTGAGTCATGGCATTCATTTAACCCTTTCAATGCTTGACTCGCATTTTTGTAATTAAAAATACCTAGTAAATTTTTAATAAATAGATAATTACTTGTGGTTGTAGTGAGGCAATCCTAAGGATGCTGGCTCTCCTAGCTCTGGATTAACTCCTACATTTGTAAAATATCGTTCTTGCTCATCAGGCTGTGTGTTGGCTGCCTGGCCATGTTCCAGAAGCATTCTCTCCTGATGTTTCACCCACATCTATGGCAGGCATCCTCAGAGGTTGAGGGGTCTGTTGGAAACTAGGCAAGTGGGGTTTATATATCTGTGGAATAATGTCCAGTGTGAGAGAAAGAACTCTTGTCTGTTTGAATGTTGTAATTGGCCACCTTTTGAATGTCCAGCAGTTTCATGGTGTGGCTTCTTACTGCCTGGGGGAATCCTTTGTTGGGAGGCGATCAGCTGTTGCACACCAAGGCTGGGGTTGGCACCTTTGAACCCGTAAACACACCAATGTGTGTGGAATAATAACGTCCAGGGTGGGAGAAAGAACTCTTGTCTGCTTGAGGTCGGTGTGAATGTTGTCATTGTCCACCTTGATTAGCATCCCAACAAAGGATTCCCCCAGGCAGGAAGCAGCCAGGCATTGAAGCTGGTTTATATATCTGTGGAATAATTTCCAGGGTGGGAGAAATAACTCTTGTCTGTTTGAGGTCGGTGCGAATGTTGTAATTGGCCACCTTGATTAGCATTGAATGGCCTTGCAGCTTCAAGGTCTGGATGCTTCCTGCCTGGGAGGGCAGGCATCCTCAGAGGTTGAGGGATCTGTTGGAAACTAGGCAAGTGGGGTTGATATATCTGTGGAATAATGTCCAGGGTGGGAGCAAGAACTCTTGTCTCTTTGAGGTAGGTGTGAATGTCGTAATTGGCCACCTTGATGAGCAACAAATGGCTTTGCAGCTTCAAGGTCTGGGTGCTTCCTTCCTGGGGGGGGGGCAGGCATCCTCAGAGGTTGTGGGGTCTGTTGGAAACTAGGCAAGTGTGGTTGATATAGCTGTGGAATAACGTCCAAGGAGGGAGCAAAAACTCTTGCCTGTTTGAGGTCGGTGTGAATGTTGTAACTGGCCACCTTGATTATCATCGAATGGCCTTGCAGCTTCAAGGTCTGGATGCTTCCTGCCTGGGGGGGCGGCATCCTCAGAGGTTGTGTGGTCTGTGGGGTTGATCTATCTGTGGAATAATGTCCAGGGATTGAGGTTGGTGTGAATGTTGTAATTGTCCATCTTGATGAGCATCGAATGGCCTTGCAGCTTCAAGGTCTGGGTGCTTCCTGCCTGGGGGGGGGCGGCATCCTCAGAGGTTGTGTGGTCTGTGGGGTTGATCTATCTGTGGAATAATGTCCAGGGATTGAGGTTGGTGTGAATGTTGTAATTGTCCATCTTGATGAGCATCGAATGGCCTTGCAGCTTCAAGGTCTGGGTGCTTCCTGCCTGGGGGGGGCGGCATCCTCAGAGGTTGTGTGGTCTGTGGGGTTGATCTATCTGTGGAATAATGTCCAGGGATTGAGGTTGGTGTGAATGTTGTAATTGTCCATCTTGATGAGCATCGAATGGCCTTGCAGCTTCAAGGTCTGGGTGCTTCCTGCCTGGGGGGGGGCGGCATCCTCAGAGGTTGTGTGGTCTGTGGGGTTGATCTATCTGTGGAATAATGTCCAGGGATTGAGGTTGGTGTGAATGTTGTAATTGTCCACCTCGATTAGCATCGAATGCTTTTGCAGCTTCAAAGTCTGGGTGCTACCTGCTGGGGGGGGGCGGGCATCCTCAGAGGTTGTGAATGCTTCTGGAACATGGCCGTCCAGCCCGACGGACCTCCAACCGCCCAGTCTGAATAATGTCCGTGGATGCATCCTCAGTGGTCAATGGCTTGCTGTTGTTCTCGGCCCGCGTGTGCTGACGCCGCCGACATTCATGGCTCTCCCCTTTTCTCTCCCCTTTTTGTTTCAACTCTCAAAGACTGTTTGGCCACCCGATGTCACTGCAGGCACTACAGACAGAGAAGTAGGCTCCGCGGTTGGAGGGGGGACATAGGCTTCTGATAATTGCCCGTTAGGCTCGGCATGGCGCGAGGCCTAATGCTGCTCTTGCGCCCTGAACGAAGCGAGTGGTGTTTGCTAACGCAGGTGGTAAGTCCTCTCCCTTCTCTCTCTCTCTCCCCCCCCCCCCACACCGCCTTTCCCCCTTTGCAGGCTCGGCGGGACCCGTCCATCCCCTCGTGGACCCCTTGGCCGCCGGACCCCACTTGGCACGCTTCCCCTACCCTCCTGGTACTATCCCAAACCCATTGCTAGGGCAGCCGCCCCACGAGCACGAAATGCTCCGGCACCCCGTCTTCGGTAAGTCTGCGGCTCTGGGCGGCCCGTGGATACGGATAAGGAGGGCGCCTGGCGAGGATGAGAGGGTCAGGCCTATGGTCCATCTATTCCAGCATCCTGTTTCCATCAGAGGCCAGGCCAGATGCCTCTGGGGAGCCCACACCCTGCAGGGCGGGATGGGAACAGCCCTCCCCCAGTATTGCTCCCCACCAACTGGTTCGCAGAGGCGGCCGGCTTCTGTCGATGTAAGTGCCGTTGGGCTGCTCTTGCTCATTGCCATTGATTGTCCAAGCATGTGTGGTTTTGGTGGGATCTCCGAAAGACGTGAGCTCCGAAAGGCCGCCACGGCCTCCAGCTGTCCCTTTAACGCAGTGGTTCCCAACCTGTGGCCCGTGGACCACCAGTGGTCTGCAAGAACTAAAATGTAGTCCACAGCCTCACCATGACTGGTCTCGTGAAACCCTCATTATTATTATTATTATTATTATTATTATTATTATTATTATTATATTATTATTATATTATTATTATTATATTATTATTATTATATTATTATTATTATTATTATTATTATTATTATTATTATATTATTATTATTATCATTGCTGTTGTTATTATTGTTATTATTGTTTAGTATTATTATATATTGTTTTCTGTGGGCGAGCAGATGGCGACTACCCGATTTCATATGTTCCGTATCAGAAACTAGAGCTGATGTAGTCTGCCTAGTGCAATTTTCTATATATTTATCATGTCAGGGGCAACCAGACCATTGTATTACATTTCTAACTCCAGAAGCAACCAGAAGTGCAATTTTCTGAATCAGCTGATGTGGTCTATCCAGTGCAGTTTTCTAACTCAGCTGATGTGGTCTAACTAAAGCCATTTCCTAAGTCAGCTGCCCAGTGCAATTTTCTGAATCAGCTGATGTGGTCTATCCAATGCAATTTTCAAACTCAGCTGATGTGGTCTATCCAGTGCAATATTCTGAATCAGCTGATGTGGTCTATCCGGTGCATTTTGCAAACTCAGCTGATGTGGTCTATCCAATGCAGTATTCTGAATCAGCTGATGTGGTCTAGCCAATGCAGTTTTCTGAATCAGCTGATATGGTCTTTCCAGTGCAATTTTCTGAATCAGCTGATGTGGCCTATCCGGTGCATTTTTCAAACTCAGCTGATGTGGTCTATCCAATGCAGTATTCTGAATCAGCTGATGTGGTCTATCCAGTGCATTTTTCAAACTCAGCTGATGCAGTCTATCCAATGCAGTATTCTGAATCAGCTAATTTGGTCTATCCAATGCAATTGTCTAAATCAGCTGATGAGGTCTATCTAGTGCAATTGTCTGAATCAGCTGATGTGGTCTATCCAAAGCAATTTTCTAAGTCAGCTGTCCAGTGCAATTTTCTGAATCAGCTGATGTTATCTATCTAATGCAGTATTCTAACTCAGCTGATGTGGTCTATCCAGTGCAATTTTCCAACTCAGCTGATGTGATCTATCCAATGCAATTTTCTTAATCAGCTGATGTGGTCTGTCCAGTGCAATTTTCCGAATCAGGACCCCAAATAACGAAACCAAATCTAAAGTTGACCAAACACTGATTTTGATACTAATATTGGAGAACGGTCCCTGTTGGTCTCTGGTAAAAAAAAAAAAAAAAGGTTGGGAACCACTGCTTTAAGGTCTTCCATATACGCTAAAGATTTGAAAGTTGAGTCATAATAGAATAATATATAATAGTTAATTATATTAATTATAATAATTAATTATATTAATTAATAATAATAATAATAATAATAATAATAATAATAAATATAATAACAGAATGATAAAGTTGCAAGAGACCCATCCCAGGGCCATCCAATCCAACCTCCTGCCATGCAGAAAAAGCACAATCAAATCACCCTTGACAGATAGCCACCCAGTCTCTTTTTCAAAGCCTCCACCACACTGAGGCAGTGAGTTCCACTGCTTGGAACAGCTGGAATCTGATCCCATTGCTCCATTGAGTCCCGGGCAGCATAAAACAGGCTTGCTCCCTCTTCTTTATGAAATCCTTGAGTCCCCTTCGCGGTAGGGAAAGGTGGGAGACAAATAGAGTAAATAATAAATAATAATCGATATAAATAAAAATGTGAATCTCCGTTTGTTCAGAACCTCAAATCTCACCAAATACTTCACCGATTGCTTTGAAACTTTGACACAACGTAGCATACGAATAGACGCATGTTTTTATGTTTTCACATTCCTGCTATTATATAGGTGTCACACCTTTGACAGGTAAATATATCCTTTTTTCAAAAACAGCGCCATCTGCTGGACAGCAAAATAACACAGGCTATATTTTACTATTCTATTTCAATAAATAATAGTAAATAAATAAATACGATCCTTTCAGGTAGTTAAACGTGCAAACATCATCTGGAAATTAAAAGAGCCACTCATCCCATCCCAGTTGTTTTGTTTTGGTGGCCGTACTTGGCATGCCCTGTGGATTCAGCCCGCCTGCTGCGGGAGAGCGTCATACCTTTCTTTCTTTCTCTTTCTCGTTCCCTCTTTCTCCCCTTCTCAGGTACCCCCTACCCACGCGAGCTCCCCGGTGCCATCCCTCCGCCCATGTCCGCCGCCCACCAGTTACAGGCCATGCATGCCCAGTCGGCAGAGCTTCAGAGACTAGCGATGGAGCAGCAGTGGCTTCACGGTCACCCCCACATGCATGGAGGACACCTCCCCAGCCAAGAAGACTATTACAGGTAAGTGTGGGGCATTCCTTCAAGGGGCTGGGAATGGCCAAATGACAGCCCAGAGGAGTTGGTTCTGAAAACAACAGAGGCTCGGGTCGTAGTGAGCTTCCGACCATCTGTGTAGCTTGCTGTCGACCTTTGCAGCCTGAAAAACAGTTGCATCTGTCAAGTAGGAAATTTAGGTACCGCGTATGCGGGGAGGTTAATTTAACTAATTTACGATGCCATAAAATCTCCAGCAAGTGTGCGAAGAATGAGGAAGTACTCCATCAGTGTCACAAATGGACGGTAAAGCGACAGCTCCCCCGGTGGCCAGAATACCCTCTTGAAAAAGCTGGAATGTTAAATTGCCTCTGTGTGTCTGTCTATATATGTTGTGTGTCCATGGCATTGAATGTTTGCCATATATATGTGCATTGTGATCCGCCCTGAGTCCCCTGCGGGGTGAGAAGGGCGGAATATAAATACTGTTAAATAAATAAATAAATAAACTGGCAAGTCAACATATACATACAATGCATGTTAGCAAGTATATACATTAACAAACAAATTGTGAAGGCTTGGAAGGTTGCTACGAGGGTTGAATGAAAAGTAATGCCTCCACCTTCGTAACTCCTCAACAGATGGCAGTAGTGGTATGCAGCAGGTACTGGCTTCTTCAGTAGACTCTCCTCTACAGTTCCATTTTGGCAGGAGGCCTTAGCACAAAAAGTAAAGCCTCCACCTTCATAACTCCTCAACAGATGGCAGTACTGGTATGTGGCAGATACTGGCTTCTTCAGTAGACTCTCCTCTACAGTTCCATTTTGGCAGGAAGCCTTAGCAGAAAAAGTAATGTCTCCACCTTCATAACTCCTCAACAGATGGCAGTACTGGTATGCGGCAGGTACTGGCTTGTTCAGTAGACTCTCCTCTACAGCTCCATTTTGGCAGGAGGCCTTAGCACAAAAAGTAATGCCTCCACCTTTGTAGCTCCTCAACAGATGGCAGTACTGTTATGCAGCAGGTACTGGCTTCTTCAGTAGACTCTCCTCTACAGTTCCATTTTGGCGGGAAGCCTTAGCAGGAAAAGTAATGCCTCCACCTTCGTAACTTCTCAACAGATGGCAGTACTGGTATGCGGCAGGTACTGGCTTGTTCAGTAGACTCTCCTCTACAGTTCCATTTTGGCAGGAAGCCTTAGCAGAAAAAGTAATGCCTCCACCTTTGTAACTCCTCAACAGATGGCAGTACTGGTATGGGGCAGGTACTGGCTTGTTCAGTAGACTCTCCTCTACAGTTCCCTTTTGGCGGGAAGCCTTAGCAAAGTAATGCCTCCACCTTCGTAACTCCTCAACAGATGGCAGTACTGGTATGCAGCAGGTACTGGCTTGTTCAGTAGACTCTCCTCTACAGTTCCATTTTGGCAGGAAGCCTTAGCATTGAACAGTTGTGTTGTTAAAGTGAAAAATAAGGCCCTTCCCAGCACCAACCTCCGTTCTGGGCCAGAGTGAAGAGAGGGGGGGCCAGGGGAGAGTTCCTCCTTGTCTCCTGTGCTATGCTAATAATATAATATAATATAATATAATATAATATAATATAATATAATATAATATAATATAATATAATATTATATTATTAGCATAACACAGGAGACAAGATGGAACTGTCTTTCTTTATATATTGTATATACATATAATATTTATAATATTATAATATAATACAATACTACTAATAATATGATATTATAATTATATATTTATATTACATGTAATATTACTAATAACATTACAATGTAATGGTATAGTACAGTATAGCAATTCTGATATTGTACTATGCTAATAATATAATGTATGTATATGTATCTTGTAAGCTGTTCTCAGTTCCCTTCGGTGTGAGAAGAGTGGCATATAAATGTCGTAAATAAATTAAAGCTGTTGAGGTGGGAACATCTGACTTGCGTGACAAACAAAGAGTGGACGTCCTGTGATATCAACCATAGGGTAAAATACTGTAAATGTAATAATAATAAAGAGAGTAAAATAATACATGAAATAAAAATAATACTAATAACAGAGTAAATTAGTAATAAATAACCTTGACTCAAGTATAAGCCAAGGGGAGCTTTTTCAGCCTAAAAAAGGGGCTGAAAAACTAGGCTTATACTCGAGTATATGCAGTAAATAAAGTATTATTATTATTATTATTTTCTTTTTGGTCACCCAGCATTTTCTGATCTTCTTTCTTTGTGGCGTCGTAAAACACCTCCCCCTCTTTTGGCGGTTCCTAATTTATCTCATTACCGTTAAAGCTGTTTTCAAGCAGGTAAACAGTGAGCAGGGCTGACAGTCGACTGCTCACGCCGACCCGGGGCTTCAAACATGCAACCTTTTCATTTGGCAGATCTTGTAGTTGCTGGTGATTTATCAGATGTGTTAAACCATCCAAACCCAAGTAACGAAGGTCGAGGCATTACTTTTCATTTAACCTTGTATTTTCCAACTATTTATTTATTTATCATGTCAGGAGCAAACCAAACAGTTGTATTTCTTTTATTAAAAAAACAAACAAATAAACAGATAAAAAAACACAAATTTTGCAAGCTTGGTAGTTGATTAAATGTCCTTTGACCAGTATCTGGCCCCTTGGAGTGCCTCTGGTGTTGCCGCAAGGAGGTCCTCCCTTGTGCATGTGGCAGGGCTCAGGTTGCATTGCAGCAGGTGGTCAGTGGTTTGCTCCTCTCCACACTCGCATGTTGTGGATTCCACTTTGTGGCCCCATTTCTTAAGGTTGGCTCTGCATCTCGTGGGGCCAGAGTGCAGTCTGTTCAGCGCCTTCCAAGTCGCCCAGTCTTCTGTGTGCCCAGAGGGAGTCTCTCATTAGGTATCAGCCATTGGTTGAGGTGCTGGGTTTGAGCCTGCCACTTTTGGACTCTCGCTTGCTGAGGTGTTCCAGCAAGTGTCTCTGTAGATCTTAGAAAACTATTTCTTGATTTAAGTCGTTGACGTGCTGGCTGATACCCAAACAGGGGATGAGCTGGAGATGTCTCTGCCTTGGTCCTTTCACTATTGGCTGCTACTTCCCAGCGGATGTCAGGTGGTGCAATACCGGCTAAACAGTGTAATTTCTCCAGTGGTGTAGGGCGCAGACACCCCGTGATAATGCGGCATGTCTCATTCAGAGCCACATCCACTGTTTTAGCGTGGTGAGATGTGTTCCACACTGGGCATGCGTACTCAGCAGCAGAGTAGCATAGCGCAAGGGCAGATGTCTTCACTGTGTCTGGTTGTGATCCCCAGGTTGTGCCAGTCAGCTTTCGTATGATATTGTTTCTAGCACCCGCTTTTTGCTTGATGTTCAGGCAGTGCTTCTTGTAGGTCAGAGCACAATCCAGAGTGACTCCCAGGTACTTGGGTGCGCTGCTATGCTCCAGTGGGAGCCCTTCCCAGGTAATAATCCTCAGAGCTCGGGATGCTTGTCTATTGAAAGCACATGTCTGTGTTTTAGATGGATTAGGGATCAGCTGGATTTCCCTGAAATAGGCAGTAAGGGCACCTAGAGCTTCGGAGAGCTTCTGTTCAGCGATTCCAAAGCTCCCTGCTTGAGTGATGATGGCACGATCATCAGCATAGATGAAGCTCTCTGTCCCTTCTGGCAGTGGCTGGTCATTTGTGTAGATGTTGAACATGGATGGAGCAAGTACGCTCCCCTGAGGCAGGCCGTTCTTCTGTTTCCGCCATCTGCTTCTCTGGCTTCTTTGGAACTCAACAAAAAAGCTCCTGTTTTGTAGCAGGTTTCCTGTGAGGCGGGTGAGGTGGTCGTCCTTTGTGATATTATACATTTTTCTCAGGAGGAGGCAATGGTGGTTCACAGGTCTATGAAGACAGCTCCTGTGATCTGCTGCCTTTCAAAACCATCTTCTATGTGCTGAGTCAGGTTTCAACTGTTATTAAGTTATTTCCAACTGTTATTGATCATGATACAATTTATTTATTCAAAATGCATTTTCAGGCCAGAGGTGGCTGTTGTTTTGCCCTCGCAGATTATGTAGAGATCCTTGACGAAAAACTTACCTCTCTTGTCTTTCCTTTCTTCTTCCCGTCTTCTAGTCGACTGAAGAAAGAAGGCGACAAGCAGTTGTAATAAATTATTTATTTGTGTCGCTGGCTCCAGAAGATCCCCAAGCCTTGGGCGGAGAGTGGAATGTGTGCGTCTCCGCGCAGGGGAGAACGGAGGAAAACCGAGAGCGTTGTCTTCTCAAGATCCCCGAAAACAGCCCCGCGAAAGCCCCGCAGACTTTTTATAAAATCAGCACATATATTCTAGTATTAATTCGTAGAGAAGATTTCTCAAGACCCGTTGCATGACGTATCGAAAGAATAGCAACACGGGACTGGACGGAGCATTCCGAGCATCTTTCTTGGGCGATCGTGGGGTGGAGGTCGGATTTTGTTTTCGGGGAGGGGGGGGGTTTCGTTTTGATTTCTTCATTATTTTTTGAGTAGGTGCTAGAATCAGGTTCACAACTTAATGCAAGCCACTGTGCATAAAAGAAAACAAAAACACTCGATTTATATATATATATATGTGTATACTTAAAGCAAGAGTTGCAAGTAGGTGGCGGAACAACCTCTGAAAAATCCAAGTGCTATAACCAGAAATTTTAAAGAAAAAGAAAAAAAATCTACTTTTATTTTAATACATTGTAGGAAAACTTCATAATTTTAAAGAGAGCTTTGCAGCATGGCTTTTTAAGTCTTGTAAATAACTTTTTTTTGGGGGGGGGGGGTTAGGGCTTGAAATAAATACTTATTATAATCTCCGCCAATCCCTGGTTCCTTCCGTCCCCTCCCCTCCACGGCGTCACAAAAACGGTCCCTTCCTTCCTTCCTTCCGGGTGTTGACAAGAAGACAGAGTTGATTTTTTAATATAAGAGGAATATATATAATTATCCCTTTAATTAAAGGGGGTTTCTGCAAGGGGGTGGGGAGGGGTCCCTCATTTCACCGTGGTTCGGTCGCAACAGAATAAGCATTACGAGGAGTTGCAGGGATAACGACGTTTCATTTTTTCCTCCCGTGCGTATGTGTGTGTTGTCCTTTTCATAATTTAATTCCTTTGTTCCATGGATATCAGAATTGTCTGCCGTTCCGGTTGCTGGTTTGGTCGTATTTCCGTTGCCCGGTTGCTATGTATGCGGTACATTCCTGCAGTCAAGTGACATGTTTTCACGAAAGCTTTCCGCAACTCTCTTTCACCTTCTCTTCTTCCACTACAAGCACTTTTCTTTGAAGCAGGAGTTGTGATGGGGTTCACAGCTTTCAGGGAAAGGGCCTCTTCTGCAATGGCTAGAGTATGGTTTTGGAAAACTGCAAAGCTTTCTATCTGAATGGGGGGAAAAGTATCTTGGAAAAAAACTTCCCCAAAATATCAAGACATGGTGATGTGGAAGCTTTCCTTCCTTCCCTTTCCTTCCCTTCCTCCCTATTTCCCTCCTTCCTTCTCTCCCTCTTTCTCCTATTCATTCCTTCCTTCCTTTCCTTCTCTCCTTCTTCTCCTTTCTTCCCTCCCTCCTTCCCTCCCTCCCTCCTTCCCTTCCCTTCCTCCCTCCTTCCTTCTTTCTCTTCTTTCCCCTTCTTTCCCTCCCTCCCTTCTTCCTTCTTTTCTTCCTTCCCTCCTTCCTGCTTCCCTCCCTCTCTTTTTTTTTTCGTCCATCCATCCCTCCTTCCATTCTTTTTCCTTCCTTCTTTCCTCCCTCCCTCTTTCCTTCCTTCCTTCCTTCCCTCCCTCCCTCCTTCATTCCATCCTTCCTTCCTTCCTCCCTCCCTCCCTCCTTCCTTCCTTCCCTCCCTCCCTCCCTCCTTCCTTCCTTCCCTCCTTCCTTCCTTCCTTCCTTCCTTCCTTCCTTCCCTCCCTCCTTCCCTCCTCCCTCCTTCCTTCCCTTCTTCCTTCCTTCCCTCCTCCCTCCCTCCCTCCCTCCCTCCTCCCTCCCTCCTTCCTTCCTTCCTTCCTTCCTCCTTCCTTCCTTCCTTCCTTCCTCCTCTCTTCTTCTCCTCCCTCCCTCCTTCTTCCTTCCTTCCTTCCTCCCTCCCTCCCTCCCTCCCTCCTTCTTTCCCTCCTTCCTTTCCTTCCTTCCTTCCTTCCCTCCCTTTTTTTTCCTTCCCTCCCTCCCTCCTCTCTTTCTTCCCTCCCTCTCTCTTCCTTTCTCCTTCCTTCCTTTTTCCTTCCTCCCTTCCCCTCTCCTCTCTTTCCTTCTCCTTCCTTCCCTCCCTCCCTCTTTCTTTCTTTCCCTCCCTCCCTCCTTCCGCCTTCCCTCTCTCTCCATCTTTCCTTCCTTCCTTCCCATCTATTACCAACACTCTTTTTGTGAGGGTTTCCTTCTTCCTTCAGGATGTGTATGCGTGGAGAGCTGTCCATTGGCCTGTATTGGAGCCCACTGCCAGGCATCCGAGAGAGGGGTACATTTGGGGAGTGCATTGACCTTTTAGTGGGCTGTGAGCAACCCATTTAAAATACATAATGCAGGTATACTCTGAGCATGTGCAGAACTAAATCAGCTCCGGTCCATTTGGAACGAATCAGTGGAGAACAAAGTCCTCGCAGAGTTGTGACAACCAAGCCACAAAGCTTCAAAATGATGTGAAATTAGGAATACGGTATTTACTTGGTCCTGTTGACTGTTTTGGATTCAGAGGCTTCTCCGCACTTCTCAGGCCGTAGAATTGCTGGCTTGCAAACTAGAGGAAATTCCTTTGTAGAAGAGGTAATGTGCTTGTCACCTGTTTGTGTGGCGGGTGAAACGCCTGCCGAAACATACACACATACACATGAGTTTCAATGTGGCAATTCTATCAGTCCGTGACAGCAAAATGGGCAATGATCAAGAGTTCGACATGCATTGGGTGTGTAACCGACATCCTATTGCCTTGTGTGCCTTTTGCAATGCAAAGGTACGTCCTGGTTCGAAAGATTGGGGTCCAAGAAGGTCTTGAGTATGTGAGGACTGTATGTACTTCTGTCTTGATCCTCCTCCAGAGGACTCTATAGCTAATTGTTTTGCAATCTCCAGAAGCAGAGAATTGATGAAACTTTTTGACAAAATACTTGGGTTCCTCCTACTTTGAGGTGGATAGTAGGCCTTTCCTGGCGTCCCATCTCTTTCCTTGTTCTCCTCTCAATCATCAGTGCTTATAGACTTTCTATACGTTCGGCATTTCATGTCACAATGGATAGTGTTCAGGTTCACTTATGTAATAAATCCATGGCTCCTCCAGTTAAGAGAATTAAGGTGAGCCATTTCCTTACTGGGGAGGAATTTTCTCCTTCGTGGTCACTGTGAAATCGCACCGTATGGTAATAATTGCCATATGTGCAGATTTCACAGGTGAGAAAGTTGGTTACATATAAGCAACCATTCCTTCTTCGTGTCAGCTGTGGAATCGCACATGTGGCAATTACTACCAGATGTGTGGATTTCACAGGTGATGACCTGAAGAAAGATGGTTACAGGTAAGCAACCGTTCAAAGCATCCAGGTCTGATACAACCCAAATACAGCCAAGATTTAAGGTTATGCTAGTCCTTCCAAATTGGTAAAGAATTTAGTGCTTTGGCGCCCAACGTGGGGCTGAAACAAACCCGACGAGTGGCTTCGAGGTGAGGCTCGTCTGCCTAATCCCATGTTGTCAGTACAGAATTTGGTGTTTTGGCGCCCAACATGGGGCTGAAACAGACAAGTGACTACAAGGTTAGTCCTATCTGCCTAGTCCCATGTTGTTGGTACAGAATTTGGTGTTTTGGTGCCCAACACGGGGCTGAAACAGACCAGACGAGTGACTTCAAGGTTAGTCCCGTCTGCCTAGTCCCATGTCGTCGGTACAAAATTTGGTGTTTTGGCGCCCAACATGGGGCTGAAACAGATGAGGGACATCGAGGTTAGTCCCATCTGCCTAGTCCCATGTCGTCGGTACAAAATTTGGTGTTTCGGCGCCCAACATGGGGCTGAAACAGACGAGTGACTTCGAGGTTAGGCCCGTCTGCCTAGTCCCATGTCGTCGGTACAAAATTTGGTGTTTCGGCGCCCAACATGGGGCTGAAACAGACGAGTGACTTCGAGGTTAGGCCCGTCTGCCTAGTCCCATGTCGGATGCCAAAATACCAAACTCTATGTAATAAATCCATAACTCCTCCAGTTAAGAGAATTAAGGTGAGCCATTTCCTTACTGGGAAGGAATTTTCTCCTTCATGGTCACTGTGAAATTGCACCATATCGTAATAATTGCCATATGTGCGGATTTCACAAGTGATCACTCAAAGAAAGATGGTCCCATGTTGTCGGTACAGAATTTGATGTTTTGGTGCCCAACATGGGGCGGAAACAAACCAGATGAGTGACTTCGAGGTTAGGCCCGCATGCCTAGTCCCATGTCGGTACAGAATTTGGTGTTTTGGCACCCAACATGGAGAGGAAACAAACCAGACGAATGACTTCGAGGTTAGTCCCGTCTGCCTAGTCCCATGTCGTCAGTACAAAATTTGGTGTTTTGGCGCCCAACATGGGGCTGAAACAACCAGACGAGTGACTTCAAGGTTAGTCCCATCTGCCTAGTCCCATGTCGTCAGTACAAAATTTGGTGTTTCGGCGCCCAACATGGGGCTGAAACAGACGAGTGACTTCGAGGTTAGGCCCGTCTGCCTAGTCCCATGTCGGATGCCAAAATACCAAACTCTATGTAATAAATCCATAACTCCTCCAGTTAAGAGAATTAAGGTGAGCCATTTCCTTACTGGGGAGGAATTTTCTCCTTCGTGGTCACTGTGAAATTGCACCGTATCATAATAATTGCCATATGTGCGGATTTCACAAATGATCACTCAAAGAAAGATGGTCCCATGTTGTCGGTACAGAATTTGATGTTTTGGTGCCCAACATGGGGCGGAAACAAACCAGATGAGTGACTTCGAGGTTAGGCCCGCCTGCCTAGTCCCATGTCATTGGTACAGAATTTGGTGTTTTGGCGCGCAACATGGGGCTCAAACAGACAAGTGACTTCGAGGTTAGGCCCGTCTGCCTAGTCCCATGTCGGTCGTCAAAATACTAAATTCTGTACCGATTCGAAACGCAGAGTAGTGTCCCCTCCGTCACTTGCAAACCCAAGCAACATTTCCCATTTTAATTGCGACGCCACCTGTTAACAGAATAGCAACCTTAGCGACAGGGATGTTCCAAACCCGTTCCCGCTCATCTCGTGCCTTTTTGCATTGCTGTTTTCGTTTGGAGCATGTCAATACAACACTATTATAATGAGAGAAAACAAGGAAGAGGGTGACTATTTACCATTTAATTTCAGTGTGGATTAATATTCCCAATCATTCCAAGGTGGTGGGAAGCCCATTGCTTCTTAGTTGCCGAGTTTGACGATTATCTAACCATCTTCTTTGCTCCCGGCCTCTAAAATCACCTTTA